CTGAAGGATGGAGACGATGTCGTTGTCATCGGGGTCTTCGCAGGGGAAAGCGACCCCGCCTACCGGCAGTATCAGGATGCCGGTAAGCAGCCGCGCCATGGGCCAAGCAGAGCACAGGTGACAGGACGCTGGGGCCTGCGCTGCTTCGCCTCAGTTCAGGGGGTGGCCTGGTGAAGAGCTGACATGGCGTCTCTGGGGACAACCACTTGGGGCTGGGCTGGGCCGGAGATGGCGCCCTGTCGCCCTCGTTCCACACGGATGCCATCACGCACTGGGTAGGGGGCAGCTACACCCTCTCCCTGAGGCCTCAGAGTCTGTCTCCTCCCTCCTGAGCCCCTTCTGGGGCCCATCTGCGAGAGGGAGGTCTGACCACGAGGGTCCCGTAGTCAGGCTCGGGCTGAACCCAGGAATGCAGGTGGGGACTGGGGCGGTTGGAACGTCCAGCCCAGCAGGCCGTCTCCTGCATGGGGAGGTGGTGACCTCAGGTGGGACACCGCCAGCCTAGTGCTGAGGTGGTGACCTCAGGTGGGACACTGCCAGCCTAGTGCTGAGAGCGTGCCTGGTAACAGGCTACATGCCTGGTGGGCGGTGGTGTCCTATGGCCTGGAGGGTCGGAGGCAGCTGCCCAGGTCTGGCTCCTGGTCAGCTTCTAGGGTGTGAGGAGCAGCAAGATCCTTGACAGGATCCTCTCTGTCTTGTCAGTTATTGCTGGGTGCCCCCCCACACACACACACACCAGAGATGGCACTTTTCTGCTTTAAGGTAAAATGCAGATCTGCTAAAAGCACTGCCGATCACTTGGTTGACTCTGGGCTGTGTGGTAACAGCCGTGCAAAGGTCAGGTGCAGGTTAACCTAATAAAATTACAGGAGAGCAAAATTGTGTTCACTTTACCTCTCTGCGTTAGGCGACCTTGTTCACCCCTATTGACCAGTTAGTTAGAAACTTGCAGGGGGAGGGGACCAGCAGGTGGCGGAATGGCTATGTCGCTGGACTCCCACCTAGTCGACTGCGGTTCAAGTCCCAGACCCGGGCGTGTGCGTGCGTACCCAAGATCCTGAGAGGAGAATGGAGGAGAAGGGATTGCGGCGTGGCCATCCCTGCTGGGGGGTGATTTCTCACTTTCTGTCTGTCTCTCTTTCTGATGAGCACACATGCCCTATAGCTAAAACCTCTCCAAAAAAAGAAACTTGCAGGGGTACAACCCACTCTACCCAGAAGTAGAGTCCCCAGACCCAAGTCTGGCGACAGGTCCCACGCTTTAATGTGCAACTGGGGGGTCTCATTCGAAGACAGGCTCTCATGCCCGGGTCTGGGTTCGGCCTGGGCTGCCACTTCCATCGCCACGGTCCTGCCTGGCTGGGGCTGTTGGGCCTGGTGCGCATGCACGTGGAGGCATGCAGTGAAGGCCCAGGCATGCGGATGTCGCATAGTGAGGCTGCAGGCAGGAGAAGGGGTGCTGGCCTGTGGTCGTGGGGGCAGGAAGTGGAGTTCTCCACACCAGTCTGCTTCTCCACCCGAAGGCTTAGGATAGGCAAGCACTAGTGCTGGGGCACCTTCTGGGCAAGCGGTTGGTCTGGTGTCCTCCTGGCAACGACCCTGTGAGGGAGATCTTGTCTCCACAGAGGAACCGGGCGCTCAGGGAGGTCACTATGGACACACCTCCAGCCACACACGTGGAAGGTCATGAAATGGGTTGAGTCAAAGTCTAGTTCTGAAAGCCATGCGCCTTCCGCACTCAGCCCTGCCCGTGGGCATCAGGACGGAGTTACTGGGCCTGATGTGCATGCATGTGGAGGCGTGCAGTGCTGTGTGGGGCCTGAGGGCCCTTCGAGGGTGTCTTCATCACACACCAGCTCAGGACGGGCCTTTACCTGTGGAATCCAGGGCAGGCGTAGAGGGCTGTGGCCCGCTGTTTCTGTAAATCGTTTTTATTGAAACACAACCACGCTCAGTCGTTCAGACACCACCTGCTGCCTGCACACCACAGTGGCAGAGCAAAGTGGCCAGGACAGGCCATGTGGTCCTCGGGCCCTTTGGGGAAGCCTGCCGGGCCCGTTCTAGAGCGTGCTCAGTGTGAGGCTTTATTGTGGAGTTTCCATGATGTTTAAATGAAAGGGTAGGCTGCAAAAGAGCCTCACGCAGGACTCCAGCCCAAATTCAGGCAGCCCACTGACTCAGGAAGGGACACTGCAGCCCAGCAGAGGGTGCCGGGTGTGAAAACTCCACCTGGGGCCTGGCCGTGTGGTTTTGCGTCCTCCCCGGCGTGCTGTCTGCCCGGGTCCGGGTCGTCCCTGCACCCGCCAGTCGGCAGCTCCTGGAGCTCAGCTCTGGGGTCCTCTTAGTGTGGGTACTGTGCGCAGAGTTTAGAAACACATACCCTACACCCTTCGGGTGCAGTGGTCATCCCACGGCTCTCAGGGCGTCCACTCTAGCTGAGAAGGGCGGCAAATGAAACCCCGGTTGTGTAAGCAACGTGACAAGCCGCGTTTCGTCTCCTGTCCCTCTGCAGCCAACAACCTGCGGGAAGACTACAAGTTCCACCACACCCACAGCGCCGAAATAGCCAAGTTCTTGAAAGTGGCCCCAGGGAAGCTGGTCATCATGCAGCCGGAGAAGTTCCAGTCCAAGTATGAGCCCAGGAGCAACGTGATGGACGTGCAGGTGGGGGGCTCCCCAGGTGGCGTGGGCACCACAGGCCTGAGGGCTCGTCTCGAGCCACGTGGGGGTCTTGCTCCATCTGCAGGATCTGGAGTGTTTTCCCTGCCTCTTATCCCCCACCCACAGGTTCAGGGAAGGCACAGGATGGGAGCCCAGCAGGCGAGAGGCTTATGGTTAGGTTTACGGGGGAAGGCGGTTGTGGGGCCCAGGGCCCATGGCAAGGCTCTCCCCATTTTTCAGAATGGTAACACCCACTGTTCATTCCTCTGACTGGCCGCCACCGTCCCTGGCTCCCAGCCCACCGTGGGCTTGGCCTGGGCGTCTGGCAGAGCTGTGGCCGGGACACCTGTCTGTGTGGTCTCTGCTAGGCCTTCCTGTTACAGGGGACCTGGAAGGCCGCTCACTGATGGCTGGCCCTCCACCCAGTGGGCACAGCTGCTGAGCTGGGCATGGTTTTGCCTTTCCACCACCTTCCAATGTCTCCCTCCCCTTGCCTTCATCAAGGAAGGGGTGACACACTAAGCCCTAGGGGGCAGGAGTCCCAACCAGGGTGAGCCCAGCCCAGCTTGGGGTCCCCAGTGTTTCAGTGAACTTGACCTCAGATCAGGAGGGAATCTCCGACATAAGCCCTGCTTCCGTTTGATGGCGACTAGGATGCAGGGAATGAGGGCCTTCTTTGCAAGGGCCTTGGTGACCCCGGCCCTGAAGGTCTCCTATCTCCTGGTACCTTTACGTTGGGGAAAGGAGTGGGAAGGCAGTGGGAGCTAGTTACCGGGGTGTGCTTGCATGGGCAGAGTGTCTGTCCTGCCTCGGAACTCCCCAGAGCACTCAGCAGCAGTGGCTGCGGAGGGGTTAGAAAACGCCCCTCTTAGGGAGGCCCCTCTCACCGTGCCCTGTTGGATGCAGGGTTTCACGGAGGGGTCAGCCATCAAGGACTACGTGGTGAAGCACGCCCTGCCCCTTGTCGGCCACCGGAAACCCTCCAACGACGCCAAGCGGTACGCCAAGCGCCCCCTGGTGGTCGTCTACTACAGCGTGGACTTCAGCTTTGACTACAGGACAGGTGAGCCACCCACGGCGGGAGTGGCTCACGGGTTCAGGACGCCCGCCCCGGGCCCTTGCGGGTAGACAGCCCGGTGTGTGTTTTTCTAATCTTAAGGCTTGGGTTCAGGGCCAGCTTTTGTTCTGAGCTATAGCATATCCTTTCCCCACCCTCTTTAGCAAGAGGACAGCTTAGGGTTGAGTGCAGCAGCCGTCCGGTGCTAACGTTGGAAGTAGCCTCTGGGGAGCTGGGGCTAGACCTGCCTCTGCCTCCAGGCAGGCAACGGCTGTCTTCCTGGCCCAGGTCTCACGGAGGCGATGGGCTGTAGCCACCGTCCACCCGCTCGTGGGGTGTGGCTTTTTCAGAAATGCTCTTCCCTCCAGTTGAGGCGCACTGGGCTGTGCTTGTCGGCACCAGCCACGGGATCTTGAACTTCCCTGGGAGTCCAGGTGGGGCTGTCGCTCTGCCTCACCACCCAGCTCACGGCCCTGGGTCACTTTTAGCTACTCAGTTTTGGCGGAACAAAGTCCTAGAGGTGGCCAAGGACTTCCCCGAGTACACCTTTGCCATCGCTGATGAGGAGGACTACGCCACGGAGGTGAGGGACCTGGGGCTCAGCGAGAGTGGGGAGGATGTCAACGCCGCCATCCTGGATGAGAACGGGAAGAAGTTCGCCATGGAGCCTGAGGAGTTCGACTCAGACGCCCTGCGGGACTTTGTCATGGCTTTCAAAAAAGGTGAGTCAGGTCACAGGCTCCCCCGTGGCTCTCGCGCTTCCTAGGCACAGACCAGGTAGGCTGGGGGCGCTTGGTACTCTGGCCAGGTGTACGAGACCCCAGGCCCCTTAGCTGGTGGCACCCTCTGCCCACGCTGCACTTTCCTGACACTCTAACGTCTGTGTCTGGGGAAGGACAGGTGTGGCCCCAGTTCAAAGGCACCAAGACAGCTTGGAGGTAGTGTGGGGACGTTGGGAATATTTTTCCCTTTAAAAGCAAAGGCAGGACTCGAGGGGGTGCCATCCTAGGGCTCATTTGGCGTCACTCCATCTCTGCAAGCCGGAGTGCAGGACAGAGCGGGGGCTGCAGAGGGCGTGCAGTCGTGGCCTGGGCAGGGTGGGTCTTGGTGCAGCCGGAGCTTCTGCGGCTCCAGGGCCTGGCTCGAGCACCTTCACTCCCAGGAGCCCCCTCTCCACTTTCTCTCCTAGACTGAGGGAGGGGAAGACAGAGACAGAATTCTGATTCTGATTCTTTTATCTTTTCTCCTTTTCTTCCTTTTTTGAAAAGGGGCAGGTATGTCTTAGAGATTTTAAGCCAATTTTAAATGTCCGGAAAACTGGCTTATGGACATAGAAATAAGTTCTTTTCTGAGAGATCTTTGCTATGGGGCACGTATGTTCGCTGGAGAGACAGAGACAAACAGTGAGAAATCAGCCCCTGGGTGGATGGCCATGTTGCAATCCCTTCTCTATTCTCCTCTTGAGATTTTGGGCATGCATGCATGTGCACCCGGCGTGAGTTTCAAGCTGCCGAGTCTGGGACCCAAACTGTGTTTGGCCATATGGGAGTCTAGTGCCTTAACCACCATGCCACCTGCTGGTCCCAGAAATGTTATGTCTGTGTAGAAACTGGCTTTATGATCATTGGCCTTGGTGCTGGCAGGGCCTTAGGCAGGTCGTGTTCCGGTGCCTTCATGTCTGCTTGAGGCTTCCCCTGACCCCGGCCCCCAGGCCCCAGGTGCTGGCGCTCTCTGTAACTCCTTGGCATTGGGCAGAGTTTCTCATGTGACGGCCTCGCTGGACAGGACCCAGTGGCCTAGTAAGCCTAGGCCAGGACCCTAGGGTAGGACCCTCCTGCGTCCTCTCTGGCCTTCGCAGGGACCAAGCAGGTAGAAGACAGGAGTTCCCTGGAGAAGTGAATTCCCCTTGTTGGAGTGGGGTTTGGGAGAGGCCCTTCCTGGCCATGATGGCTGCCCTGTTCTCCCATTTCAGGCTGGCTGTATAGCCTGGTCTGAGGGCCACCAGTGTCTGTCCTTTTCACCACTGACCTTGCTGACTTCCCTCGGCAGGAAAACTGAAACCAGTCATCAAGTCCCAGCCCGTGCCCAAGAACAACAAGGGCCCAGTCAGGGTCGTGGTGGGGAAGACCTTCGACTCCATCGTGATGGACCCCAAGAGGGACGTCCTCATCGAGTTCTACGCGCCGTGGTGCGGGCACTGTAAGCAGCTGGAGCCCGTGTACACCAGCCTGGGCAAGAAGTACAAGAACCAGAAGGACCTGGTCATCGCCAAGATGGACGCCACCGCCAACGACATCACCAGTGACCGCTACAAGGTGGACGGCTTCCCCACCATCTACTTCGCCCCCAGGGGGGACAAAAAGAACCCAATTAAATTCGAGGGTGGAGACAGAGATCTGGAGCATTTGAGCAAGTTTATAGAAGAACATGCCACCAAACCAAGCAGGACCAGGGAGGAACTTTGAAGGACTGTGGTCTGCGGAGGTCGGGGGGACCAAACACTGTAGCTTCCAGCGGCCGCGGCCGGGGCGCCCCGCGAGCGGCCAGTGCAATGGCAGTATCGCAGTTGTTTTTTCTTTTTTCCATTTTTTATACTTTGATGTGGCACCTTGTGCTCTGAGTATTGGATAGCCGTGAAAGACTCCATAGTTTGATTCAGATATTTTCAGAGGATACATCTATTTTTATCATTTGGGGTTGGATTTTTTTTTTTTTAACTTTTACTTTCTTGGGTATACTTCCTCAAAACAAGTCAAATCTCGTGTGTGTGAGAATGTTTCCTTTTTTTTTTTAATTTAAAGTGTAAAACAACTTTTGCCAAATCACGTTGGTTTTACCTTTTCTTTCATTGTCGTGTGAGAATTGTTCACTTAAGAAACTGATTTGCTGCGTGCTCGTTTGAGTTTCTTCCCGTGATGGCACAAAGCGAGAGCTGTCACCGAGCGCCCTGCCAAAGATGATGCTTCAGCCTGGCCTTGAGCCCCCCACTGCCCTGGAGAAGTGGCATTTTCAGGCCTGGACCAGGCGTCACTGTGCCACCTGCCTGTGCACCAGGGCCCTGGGGGAGGAGTGGTACCCGGGTCCCCCAGAGCTGGCTCAGCTCCAGAGAAGCTGCCCGCCGTTGCAGCCCACCTAGTCCTGGAATAAAAATGGCCTTTGATGTGACCTGGGTGCTCGGGGTGGTAGAAGGATGGGGTGGGGTAGGCTGTTGCAGTGAAATAAGAAAAACGAGTGAAAGTTAACCTTGGTGACTACGAGCCTTGGGGTGGGCCAGAGTGGAGTCGAGTGAGGGGAGGAGGGGCTTGGCCTGGGTCTGGGGCTGCTCCATCCTGTAGGTACAAACCGTCTCACCTGGCCTCAGAATCCCAGGAGGGGGTTGCCCTGAGAAAGGGGTCTGCTTTGGAAGACTCTGTTTTGGGTGTGTGCAGTGAGCACTAGCAGACCCCACAGTGAGGGAAGGAAAGGGGTCCCTCCCCAGCACTCCTAGTGGCTGCCAGGGGACAGGTGGGACAGGAGGGCAGCTGGAGCAGCCTGAGTGAGCTCGCTCTGCTCTGCGCGTCTGAGATGTGAGCGAGGAGAGCAGTCCGGATCTTGGACGCATAGCATCTGTCTGCCGTGCAGCGAGCGCGGGCCTCGGCTGCGGAGCTGTGCGGCTTCCTGCAAGTGGCAAGCGTTAACCCTGTGTATTTGCCCATCTGTAAGAGAAAGTTAGGGCCGCCTTTGCAGAGGACTCGTGAGGCTCAGAGGAGAATGCCGGGGCTCAGGCTGTTCCTGGGCTGCAGAGGGGAAGGTGGGTGCCTCCTGGGACCAGGAGAGGCAGCTGAGTCCAGGCCTAGAGTTAGGTTAGGGCAGGCACAATCCTCTTCTGACCTGGCAACTTGCTTTCTCACTCTCCTGTCTCTCTCTGGTCAAATTTAATAATAATAAATCTTTTTTAAAAAAATGATGACCTTGGGAACCAGCAGTTAGTGTAATGGCTATGTCGCTGGACTCCCACGTAGTCGACCGCGGTTCGTGTCCCGGACCCGGTGACTTAAAACTCACGCCGGGCGCGTGTGCGTGCGTGCCCAAGATCCCGAGAGGAGAATGGAGGAGAAGGGATTGCGGTGTGACCATCCCCCCTGGGGGGTGATTTCTCGCTTTCTGTCTCTATGTCTCTCTCTGTCTGTCTGGCGAGCGCACGCGCCCTACAGTGAAAATCTCTCTCAAAAAAAAAAAAAAATGATGACCTTCCCAGTGCTGGAGGGAAGTGGGTAGGCAGAGTGGGACCTCCCGCCCCACCCAAGGCCTACTGGGCCCGAGATACTGGATCCGAGGGCCTTTCCATGTGGGTCGCCTCTTTGTCCTGCCTGTTGCAGTGAGCCAGGACAGGCCCCTGACCTCGCATGTGTGGGTAGACAGTAGCTCCCAAGTCGGAAGGCGTGGCGCTGTGCGTGCATGGAATGCAGATTCCTGGGTGCCAGCCCTGGCCTGCTGGTTGAGCCAGAAGAGTTGGAGCCTGGTGTGTTTGCAGAAGCCCCTGTATCGTAGCCAGGAACCATCTTACTTCCTTCACCAAGGTCAGAGGTAATCTCCAAAGCCGCGCCAGGACCGGCACTCAGAACCAGTGTCCCTTCCGAAGCTCCAGCATCTTGTGAAACACTACAGGGCACTTCCATGGGGGTTCCTAAGAGCTCTCGCAGCGACTCCGAGTTACTTGGCTCGAGAAATTGTGGCACTCAAAGCACAGTCCAGTGGGCTCTGTCGGGGTGCCTTATCCTGCCTCACCGGCACGTGGGACCCTCCTGGTGTCAGCCCCTTCGTGGATCCATGGGGCTCCTTAGTGACCAGCCCTCCTGCTGAGGCTTGTTAGCTTGCCTGTCTTTTGTGACCGCACCTATTCTTGATGCCTTCCCCAGGCCCAGGTGACCAGGAGGGGTCCCAGGAGCCCCACGGACATGCCTGGTCCTGGAGCCATCGCAACGCCTGCAGGTGACACGTGCACCTTGCCCTGCCAGCTGAAGGCTCCATCAGGTGGCCAGAAGGCTTAAACCCGGAGACACAGCTACTGTAATCCTTTGACTTACTGTAAGTCAGGTGTATTTAAACTCCATCCTATGGGACCCGAGGTAACCATTGGCTGATGGGGCAGAGGGCTTGGGGAGCGAAAGTGCGAGGTGGGAGGCCCCTCCTGTGCCGATCTCCTAGTAACTGGACACCTGAGAGTTCGTTGAGTAAGTGAAGAACTGTAGACCCTTGGGGAGTCCAGGCTTGAGGGGCTAGGTGGGGCGGGGGCTCCCTTTCTGACCCAGAGTCCCCTTTAGCACCGACTCCCTGGGCTGGGCCCACAGTACACGAGCACAGCTGTCCAATTCAAGGCACGCTCAACTCGGATTACGGAGGTACCACAGAGAGAGAGGACAGATGACCATTGTTAGTGGCTGAAGGCTGAGAAGGCCCTTCTAGAAGGCTGTGGCTGTGAGCTGGAGGAGTCGGGTGGGAAAGGAGCCCTCCCTGCTGGCCTCCTGGGGTTTTCTCATGTACAAGGGACAATGTGGGCTCAGCTCAGGTGGAGCTGAAAACATGATGCCTTTGAACCCTCCCTTTGTCCACCTGTGACCAAAATACCCTCCTTGGAAATCACCTAACCTCCAGTAAGGCTGGAGACCTCAGGAACTTGAAGGCTGGAGGTTGGAAACGCTAGTGTTCAAGGGGCCTGGCAGGTAAGTGCAGGAAGGGGTGGAAGGGAGTGGTGGTGACCAGGACATGCTGGCAGTTTTGTGTCCCTTCTGAAGGGCGCATTGCTGCTCCCCCGACTACCTTAGAGTGGGACTACCTTTTGATTGCCCCCCGCCCCCAGCCTCATCCAGCCCTAGCACCAGGAATGCTGAAGTGGGGCTGTGAAAACCCAAGGGGTGTGCCAGCTGGTGGCACAGTGGTTAGGGCACCTGGATCCTATACATGGCCTACTATGTGACTGAAATTCAGACCGGCAGCTTGAAAAACAGGGTGCGTGTGCATGCATGCCCCAGATCCCAGGAGGACAAAGGACTGAGCTACGGCCAACCTCCCCCCCCCACCGCCCAGGGAGATGATTTCTCAGCGTTGTCTCTTTCCAGCAAGCAAACACACCCTATAGAAAAACTAAAAAATACAAATAAAAAAGTAAATGAAGTCAAAGTTTGTCAAGGAAAAAGGCCTTTGTTCGGGTGTAAATTTGAGGCGTCCCAAACACGCTCGCTGAGTTCTCACGAGTTTTAAAGGCAAAAACTACAAGGGGAGGGAAGGAGGGGAGGGGGTGACCCCAGCTGTTTGGGGGCAGTGCTCTCTGCCTCCCAGGACTCATAACAAGGGTGGCGTCAGTCCCTGATTGGACAGGTGGTCTCTGGGCAGACGTACTGCAGAACCACACCAGTGTCAGGCCGCGGTGGTCTTTGTGTGAGCTGCGATTCTAGAGTTCCCTGAAGAACAGTTCTTGCTGGCAGGGACGCTAGCGTGAGAAAGCACCTCCACCATGGCCTTGGCTCAGTTGTCAGGGCTGACGCCAATGACTCCATTTTGATTTTGAAAGGCTTTCACCTTGGTTTGTGTCTGCTCATCTAGGGAGAGAGAAAATGGTCCTGAACCCTGAGAGGGAACATTCTTAAAGGATTTTTTTTCCCCCTTTAGGGTCCAGGAGCTCACTGGAGAGACAGAGACAGCAAGATAGAAACTGCAAATTCACCCCATGGGGAGTGGCCATGGCAGTCCCTTCTCCATTCTCTCTCAGGATGTTGGGCACATGTGCACCTGCGCCAGTGTGAGCTGTTTTTTAAGCTATTGGGTCCGGCACTCAAACCACGGTTGACTATGTGGGAGTTCGGCAACATAACCATTACGCCATCTCCTGGTCCCTTTATAGGTTTTTTTTGTAAGTTTATTTAACTTTATTATTATTTTCCGGTTTGATGAGAGAGAGAGAGAAAGAGGGAAAGTGAGAAAGCAAGTCACCAGGTTCAGGACTTGAACTGCTATCAGCCATGTGGGAGTCCAGTGCCTTTAACCACCACACCACCTATCGGCCCCAGTTTTTTTGTTTGTTTGTTTGTTTTTTAACAGATTTTTGCTATAGGGTGCATGTGCTCGTCAGAGAGACAGAGAGAGACAGACGGAAAGCGAGAAACCACCCGCCGGGGGATGGTCACTCTGCATTCCCTTTTCCATCCTCCTCTCAGGATCTTGGGCAGGCATGCACACGTGTCCGGTGTGAGTTTCAAGCTGTGGGATCCGGTACTCGAACCGTGGTGGCCATGTGGGAGTCCGGTGATGTAACCGCTGTGCCATCTGCTAGTCAGTCCCATTATAGGAGTTTTTAAAAATGTGTCAGGCTAATCTGTCCTGTGATTCCTCATTTACTCCTCCCAACACCCAGTAAGAAAGATATTCCGATTGTGCCCATTTTATAGAAAAAAGGCAAGGGACTTGACCAAAAACACACAGCTAGTAGGTGGTGAAGACCAGGACTAAGCCTAGGCAGGAAAGAGCTGGGAAGGAAAAAGCATAAAAAAAAGGAATGAGGGCTAGAGCATCTGCCCACATGATTAAATAGGAAAAAAAAAAACCACGGTCAGGGCAGAAGATTCCCGCCCAAGGCCATGCAGGCAGATTTCCGGGGGGAGGGGGGGGCGCGTCTAGCTGATTGAGCGGCATTTGATACAGCCAATGAGATGGAGCAGCAGGCCAAGCCACATGTGATAGAGCCTATGAGATGAGAACCATCAGTGGGCTCAGCCAATGACCAACTGACACACCGATTAAAAAGTATAAAATCTGAGACCAGCAGGTGGTGTAATGGTTAGACTCCTACATAGCCGGCCACGGTTCGAGTCCTGGACCCGGCTGCTTAAACCGGGTGCGTGTGTGC